ATATATATATATATATATATATTAAAATAATGTTAATCCATATAAATAAAGGTCCTAACAATCATCAAGAAAGTAAAAATAAAAAATAAAAAATAAATGATATGTATGACATAGTATTTATAAATGTTATCATTTGATTTTCGTTTAAATATTTTTAATCTTTTTAAAATTGGTTTCAATAGCCAATTACATGTGACTTATCTTGTTGTAACTACGATATTTCTGAAGTGACAGTTAAATATGTATGATACATCATTAATAAGTAATAATAAGAACCACTTTTGAAAAAAAAATCAAAAAGGTTAAAATTAACAAAAACATAAGAAAAATAAAACTACATTTAATCATTTTTGCAAAAGCTATAAACATTTTAACCTTTGTGCATTATATATTTTGACACCTATTTATAAATAAATAAAAATATACATATTATGTATTTTGTATAAAATAATATTATGTAGTCCTTTCATGTATTTAAAATAGATTTGTTTTGATATGAATACTTTATTGCAAGATTTAGGATTTAAATAAAATTCATTTCCCAACTTATTATTCTTGGCTTCTATATTTATTGCAGTATGAAAACAATTATTGAGCGCTTTAACAAGAAAAATGAGGATCATCATCGACTTATGGATTCTACTGCGGAGGTCAAGGTAACACATTCATATAATATTCCTCTAATTTTCCTCAAGCTCTCCCAATTATGTTATACCAATAATTAACGATACCCATAATTTGTTTATATATTGCATCATTGAGCTGTAGTATTATTATTTAGTGTGATAGAAAGAAAAAGTAATAAAAGACAAGAATAAGGGAAAACAATCTTTCAAGGTTATCAACAAGGTTATACGGTGGATGGTGGCAAGGACCTTTAAGTGTCATATTACCATGGTGGATTAAATAACCATCAAAACAAAGAAATAATGTTAAAAAATAGCAAAACACAATGACAATTCCTAAAACTATTTTGTTTAGTCCTCTTCATCCTCATCAATGTTTGCATAATTAATTTTCACATGATGATGTTGCTTATTTAAAAATCCTTAAGCTTTTTCTCCATCTGAATGTATAAAATTAGCATTTGGCACTAATTCCTCCTCCTGATTGCTAGAATCTTTTGATGCCTCAACTTCTTCAACCCTTTTTCCCCTTGTTCTTTGAAGTTACTCCTTTGGCTCTTTTAGAAGGATTAGTAATGTTCCTACTTGCCCCTCTCCTTTTGTGACACCTAGTGTATTGTCTAGGCTCATCAAGTCCCGAAGCTTAATAAACTTATCTCCAACTAAGGTCATCATCTCCTTCATGAACCCTCTCATCTTCACCTTCTTCCCCATCCATCTCTCCAATTAGCCACTCATTGCAATCATTAATCCCATTGAGACTAATTGGATCGATTTAATCTTTAAGGTTATACCTTTGATGGAGTGCTTGATTATACTTGACAAATACCAAGTCATGTAGTCTTTTATGCTCAAGTCTCCTTCTCTTAGTATGAACCTAAAGCAATTAAATAAAAACTTATTACTTAAGGAATAATAAGCAAGAAATTGATTGTTGACTTTAAATAGGAATTAAGAAATTAATTACTTTCTCAAAGACGCTCCAATTACGTTCATAACTCAAAGCACTACATGTCAAGCTAAGGATCCTTATTACAATTGTTATAAATATGGAGTATCTGAACCATACATCCGCCACCATTGAGCTACAAATGCAAACAAAATATGTTAAACACAGAAACTTGAGCAAATGACTTAAAGAATAAAAGTTCAAAAGTTGCAATATTTTGTCTCTTACCCGATGCAACTTCACCTCTCATTGCTATAGCAGTTGTGGACCCAAACATACCACTCGCAACTTTAGAGTGAGCCAACTCCTTATGAACAATCTTCTCCATCTCCAAATCTCCTAGTAATTTATTGATACAATCATACAAACCCTAAATAATCTCACCATTAAACTCCATCTGTGGGTTGGCATAAAAGAACTCCAGGTTCAAAAAGTGACCAGCAGCATGTAAAGGGCGATGAAGCTGAATATCCCATCTTTTATCAATGATAGCAAACACATCCTTGTATTTGCTTTCATTTTTAAAAGATTTCATAATGGTTTCCTTTGCCTTGTCCATTGCCTCATATATGTAGCCCATGGATGGTTTTTTCTCACTATCCACAAGCCTAAGCACTTTCACAAGAGGAGCCATCACTTTTAGAATGCAAACTACATTCTTCCAGAAACTAGGCATCAAGACAGTTTTAGTGGATTCCTTTCCCGTGGCCTCCTTTGCTATCTTGTTTTCCTTCCACTCTTCTGACACAAACATCTTTCGAAGATTAGTTTTCTCTTGTTGAATCCTCTCCAAGGAAAGATAAGATGTTGTAAATCGAGTGATTGCATGCCTCACTAACTCCCTCCCACCAGTAAAGAACCTCAACATGCTCAAAGTACTTGAATGACTATAAATGAAGCCAACAAGAGAGATAGCTTGCTGAATAGTCTTCTTTATATTGGGCAGTTTACCAATGTCCTCTAACATCAAATCTATGCAATGTGAAGCACAACGAGTCCAATAATTTTTTTTCTTTTTTCCTCTAGCAACCTACCAGCAAGAACATAATTACTTCTATTTTCTGTTATAACTTGGACAACCTTTTCCTCTCCAATCTCCTCCGCAATAGAATCCAACAACTCAAATATTTTTTCACTGGTCTTTACATAGTCAGATGCATCAATCGACCTTAAGAACATTGTCCTAGAAGAGGAGTTCACCAAAAAGTTGATTATGCTTCTTTGTTTCCTATCAGTCCAAGCATCTGACATTAAGGAACACCCAAAACTTGTCCATTGATCCTTTAGTGGCTTCATTAATTCATTAGTGTACTCCACCTCCTTTTGAAGGAGTAGTACTTTACTGTCATGATAGGAAGATGCTTCCCAAAATGCCCAATTTGACGAAGCAGATCTTGAAAACTTTCCAAATGTATCAAGTTGAAAGGTATGCCAGCTTAGTACCGTGCTATATATTTTTCTGTAGCTTTTTTATCACAAAGCTCTCTTATGCCTGCTTGCACCACCTTGTCTTTCCTATTTTTTGCAGTTGTAGATTGAGATTGATTATAAAGGTCCATAGGTCCTTTACTAATATCCTTCAATCTAAAATCACCAATTGGAGGTAGCCAAGAATCAGAACTTCTAATTTCCATAAATCCTTCTTCACATTGTGCTTCAATCTCTTGCATTGCCTTCTTGAATGCTTCATTTTGCCTTTGCTTCTTACCATCCGTAGCTGCCCTTATCTCAACCTTGAGAACTTCAGGAGCCATCAAACAAGTTGTAACATTGCTCGCCTTTCCAATCAAATGTTGTTTCACCCTTGTGATACCTCCTTTCATAATCTTCTGGCAATAGTTACAAAGAATCTCATTTGTATCATTCTCTCTCACCTGTGTTCAGTGCTTCCAAGCAACATCACTCCTCTTAGAATTAATGGAATTGGAAGATGACATTGTTTGTGGTTGGGTGTTTGATTCTACCTCCCCTAACATTGTCGTAGACTATGGTGGTCGCATCGGATGCGGTGGCGGCAACGTTGGCAGAACTCGAAGGACGAGGCGTGCGGAGGGAGAAGGAATATAGCAGAATCGCACGCGGAGGGAAAATGAGTAGTCAAACGCGGAAGAGAAACGATCGCACGTGGAGGAGCAACAATTGTGCATGGAGGAAGAAACAGTTGCGCCGAGGGAAAAGGGAGGAATCGCACGTGCGAAGGTGGAAGACAAGAATCGCTCGCGAAGGGAGAGGAAAATTGCATTGGAGGTGACGGTGGCAATCGCATCGGAAGCGACGATGGTGGTGGGTCTCGTTGAAGCAGGTGCGTGTTGCACGAAGGAGAGGGCAATATGCATTAGGGTTTCTGTGACAACCTTATTTTACAAAATTAAGTTAATGGGTCGCCCAACCCGGGAAAGAAACACAGGCCAAAACTGGAAAAAAAAATGAAAAAAAAAGCCCATATTAGTGCCATGATTGCCATGAACGCCTTAGATTCATATGCAAAATGGCGGATCCCCACCATACATAGGCCAAATGGCCATAACGGATCGCAGCGGCGACTGCCATACCGTTGTGGCGCCGTCATAACGACCATTTGACAACACTGCAATCTTTCAAGGGATATTTAATACTAAGCGTAACACTGTCAACTTAAATTTAGCATCGTAAGTTTCGAACCTTAATCAGTCTTACATGGTAAATCAGAAAGAATTTAGTTTAATAAACAATGATGTTAATGATGAAAAATAATAAATCAAACTCCTTGCCTTTATTAATTCAAAATAAACAATAGACAAAAGCAAAAATAGTATAGAGAAAGCATAATAATATGAAGAAAAAAAAATTACATGAAAGATTTTCTCAATGTGAATAAGAAAAATTGTAAGAACTAATTTTTTTATGAATTAAAAATATTATTAAAACCTAGAAACCTCTAGGAAAACAGATATCATTAAGGTCTGTCCTTAGGACATTACAAATAAAATTAGAAGTAAAATATAAAAAATATGAAACTCGAAAAATAAACTAAGGTCATGAGTGGCTAGGAAATCAACTGTTTGGTTAGTCTTTCTCAACACGTGACACCACTTGAGAAACCCTTCATTCTAATAGATCTCATGGATCACTATTATCACATTTGAACAAGAATGAGTGCAACAACAATCTTTAGTTAGCAACATAATTGCATTATGAGAGTTAGAACAAACTTTAATTTTGCGCTAGCCTCTCCCCCAAGCTAAATGAAGGTCAAGACATATAACTCATAGTTCAGCTAAAAGAATTGAACAAACTCCCAATTTTACTACAAAATTGCATAAGAAAGCTTCATTCTCATCTCAAATAAGTCCATCACTGGAAGGTACAACACGAAGATCTTTGACTAACCCATCTGTGTTCAACACCATTTCCTTAGGATTCAAAAATTTCCAAGCTATGTCCCATATGCCAAAAGTACATGAACCTTATGAATAGCGAAAAAAACTTCTTGAGAACCACCAATCTCATATGCCATACTCATCACCTTTCTCACTTCTTGAGAACACTTCCAAGCTATGTCTCGTATGCCAAAAGTACACAAACCTTGAGAATGAATAGTGAAAAACACTTCTTGAGAATGAATAATGGAAAACACTTCTTGAGAACCACCAATCTCATATGTCATACTCATCACCTTTCTCACTAGATCTATAATATTTCACTTAACTTGATTAAAAACCATTCATTCCTTCTCCACCATGTTATGTACAGCATGATGCAAAAAACAATACTTTATCTCATACCAAGAACATCAATGTGGTTCGATAAATTATAAGCTCACCAATTATGCCAATCATTATCCTTGAAGAAAGCATTATAAACACCTCCTTGGATAAGAAGGGCCCAGCCCGCTCAAATTTGTTCACGCTCTCTAAATAGATGAAAGAGATTCTCTTCATAAACCCCTCAAAAGTAACATACATTTGTATCCTATAACCCAAATATGAATCGTCTTGCATTAGTAAGCATCCCTTCATGACCCGATTTCCACAAAAATCCTCTTATCCTCTCATGTCCCTTCCACTGAAACACTTCCTTAAACAAAACATTATGCTCACTT